TATATACCGCCCTCACTCTCACTCCCTCACTCTCCTAGCTCACACTCTCAAGAGTATATACCGCACTCACTCTCACTCCCTCACTCTCCTAGCTCACCCCTCACTCTCCTAGCTCACCCCTCACTCTCCTAGCTTACCCCTCACTCTCCTAGCTCACCCTCTCAGTCTCCTATCTCACCCCTCACTCTCCTAGCTCACCCCTCACTCTCCTAGCTCACCCCTCACTCTCCTAGCTCATCCTCTCAGTCTCCTAGCTCACCTCTCACTCTCCTAGCTCACCCCTCACTCTCCTAGCTCACCCCTCACTCTCCTACCTCACCCCTCACTCTCCTACCTCACCCCTCACTCTCCTACCTCACCCCTCACTCTCCTAGCTTACCCCTCACTCTCCTAGCTCATCCTCTCACTCTCCTAGCTTACCCCTCACTCTCCTAGCTCACCCCTCACTTTCCTAGCTCACCTCTCACTCTCCTAGCTCACCCCTCACTCTTCTCACCCCCTCACTTACGCTAGCCCTCAGTAACACTCAGTATCCAGTCATCCAACAACCATTTTCCTTCCTGCTATCTTCTCCACATATCAGTAAATAACTGTGAACATAATCGTCCAAAATTCACCTCCCACACGCCCCAAACTGGATTTGTTTTGCTGCTTAAACTCAGCAACGTTTCTCGCTTACCTAAGCACGAATATAAACGTCGGAAGAATCTCCAAATATTTCTCTTGTGGGATTGAACACGACGAGCAAGACACGAGATCGTAGGTTTCCCTGTACGACCTGAACCTCTCTCTCTCTCTCTCTCTGGGTGGATCCGGTGCCTGAATCCCTATAACACCACTTCCCGTCTTCACGGATTACTGGCAGCGATAACTATAAAGGAGTGAAAAGTGTGGAGGGAAGGGAATCCAGCACTTGTGTTAAGACCGGAATGGGGGAGACACGAGAGTGTGTCGTTGGTGTTCCTCAGACTCGGCTTCATGTCCTGATACGATGCTCCTCTTTTTTTCATAAGGGAGAGAACAGTACCAGGTTCGGTAGATTCTTGTTTTTGTTTCTAGGAAGATAGAGAGAAACAGAGAGAGAAATAGAGAGGGAAATAGAGGGAGAAATAGAGAGAAATAGAGAGAGAGAGAGAGAGAGAGAGAGAGAGAGAGAGAGAGAGAGAGAGAGAGAGAGAGAGAGAGAGAGAGAGAGAGAGAGAGAGAGAGAGAGAGAGAAATAGAGAGAGAGAGAGAGAGAGAGAGAGAGAGAGAGAGAGAGAGAGAGAGAGAGAGAGAGAGAGAGAGAGAGGGGGGGGGCAGACAGAGACAGAGACAAAGAGAGGGCGATGATTCATTTCAATAGCCGACAGAGGCTGCCTTTTCTATGCTGGTAATAACTGCCATGTCGTATCTATCATACACATGTCTGAGTCTGCTGTCATTACTACTGTCTTTTGTCCTAACATTACAGTGTGTTGAGGGAGGGGTGAGGCTTGCGGGCAGGGTGTTGAGGGAGGGTGAGGCTTGCGGGCAGGGTGTTGAGGGAGGGGTGAGGCTTGCGGGCAGTGTGTTGAGGGAGGGGGAGGCTTGCGGGCAGGGTGTCGCGGGGTTCACCCCAACCAAATATATCATGAACATGACCTTGTTAATCTGAATGAATGCGTCAATGATCGCTCTTGTTAAACCGACAAGGAAAAACACGCCGCAGTGTATAGTGTATGGGTATAGTGTGTATAGTGTATGTGTGTGTACTCACAACCTATTTGCGCCTGCAGGATAGAGCGTTGGCTCTTGGGTCCCGTCTTTCTAGCTTTGGGTTGATTAATGGAACTACTCCTGTTTTCTCCATCATACCTAGTTTTAAAGCTATGAATAGTTTAGCTTCCACAATGTCCTATGTTAGTTCATTTTCCCACTACTCTCACGCTAAAAGAAACCTTGCTAACATCTCTATGACTGATCTGTTTCTCCAGCTTCCACCCCACGTCCCCTTGTTCCGTTGGTATTCTGTTTGAACATTTCGTCTATTTTCACTCTGTCAATCCTCCTAAGTATTTTGTATGCTGCTATCATATCTCCCCGCTCCCTCCTTGTGTGTGTATGTGTGTACTCACCTATTTGTACTCACCTATTTGTGCTTGCGAGGTTGAGCTTTGGCTCTTTGGTCCCGCCTCTCAACGGTCAATCAACTGGTGTACAGATTCCTGAGCCTACTGGGCTCTATCATATCTACACTTGAAGCTGTGTATGGAGTCAGCCTCCACCACATCACTGTCTAATGTATTCCATCCGTTAACTAAACTGACACTGAAAAAGTTCCTTCTAACGTCCCTGTGGCTCATGTGGGTACTCTGTTTCCACCTGTGTCCCCTTGTTCGCGTCCCGCCTGTGTTGTGTGTGTGTGTGTGTGTGTGTGTGTGTGTGTGTGTGTGTGTGTGTGTGTGTGTGTGTGTGTGTGTGTGTGTGCCACACCCTCACCATTCCTCTCCCACAGTGCCACACCCTCACCATTCCTCTCCCACAGTGCCACACCCTCACCATCCCTCTCCCACAGTGCCACACCCTCACCATTCCTCTCCCACAGTGCCACACCCTCACCATCCCTCTCCCACAGTGCCATACCCTCACCATTCCTCTCCCACAGTGCCACACCCTCACCATCCCTCTCCCACTCTTCAAAACAACACCCTTTCCATCTCTCGTCCTCGTGTTATCCCATCGCTTCGTTAGTTGATATATTCCTAACTTTCGTTACCCTGTGTTCCTCTTCTCACCCTTCTCTGTCTCCGTCTTTCCAATCTCCTCCCTCTCTATTCCTTCTTCATTCGCCTTTCCTCCATCTCACTACCCTCCTCTCGCTATCTTTCTTCATCCCTCTTTTTCCACGTCCTCTTCCTCCGTTTCTCCTCCCTCTCTACTCCCCGTAAACAGAACGGTAGCCAGGTGGAGAGTGTGTGTAAAGGCTCTCTGTATAGTATTGGATTGTTACGGGTTATTCATGCCCGTGCTGCCTCTTGGGTGGCTTTATCTATTGGATTGCCTCTCTCGCCGGCTTCAAATTCACTCTATACACTACCAGACATTATATGTATATGGGAGAGTGTGTGCGTGCGTGTGCCCGTCCGCGCTTCAGTTTGCGTGCGTGTGTGTTCCCGCTTATGAGCATGTCCGTCTTTCATTAAAATAGATAATAATATAATAAATATATATATATATATATATTATATATTATATATATATATATATATATATATATATATATATATATTTATATATATATATATATATATATATATATATATATATATATATTTACCTCAGAGCGCCATGGAGATGGAGACAGATCCGGTATCTGACAGACAGTGGAGACAGATCTCTTAGGTCCGTCTACGGCCGCGTCCTCCCCTGTCAATAAAAAGAGACGTAGTTGAATATTAAGTATTGTACACCCTGAAAAAGTAAATACAGTTGAAAATAAGAATCCACTATGCTTACAACTCAATTTCTTTATTGTGCACCCCCATCCCGTGGGCTGTGGTGGAAAGGGTTAAAGAGGCACATAATGGGTTCCAGGAATCTTTTGTAGCTAGTTACATATTGGTTGACGTTACATACACATGTACATATTATATATATATATATATATATATATATATATATATATATATATATATATATATATATATATATATATACAATGTTGACCAGACCACACACTAGAAGTTGAAGGGACGACGACGTTTCGGTCCGTCCTGGACCATTCTCAAGTCGATATATATACAATCATTTTACACAACGATAAATGCAATTTTGGGTTGTTTATTGCTAATCATTTTTTACCACGTTTTAGCCTCGGACCAAAGACATTATCCATCATTGGAAACCTTTACAAAATTCTGGTAAAAAATGACCCTTTCAAGCAAAAAAAAAAAAAAAAATTATTCAAAGCCATATAACTTCTCGAACCCATCCAACTTTTGCGTCGAAGCATTCAAACTTGCACAATTTTCCCTGCCTCTCAGACCTAACCCATTAGTGCTGCCTCACCTATCCGCATCTCTAGCCCTATCCCCCCCCCCTCATTGACTACCAAAGGTGATTGATTGCCTGGTTAGATCTTGTCCCCCTAACCACAACATGAGAAGGGGGCTCTGGCCCCCCACACACACACAATCAACCCCCCGTACCTGCAAAAGGATAGTGAAGGGCTACCTAGCCTCCGTCTCAATCTGCTCCTCACTTGTACTTATAGGGGACGGGTGGGGAGGGGTAGGAGTTCACCCACAACACAACGAGGATAGGCTATGGCTCGAGGATAGCCTTACCAGTCACCCCCAACGTATGCTAATTGGGTATATTTTATTTGTGTATATCATCAAGGATATGTGTGTGTTTATTTTAAGGGGGGCAACGTTTATTGTCGACGCCATACTTAGTAATAAGTGTGTGCTATATTCACCCACTAGGGGGCACATTCTCTCCCTTATTCTCACGCAAGGGGGGTGACTTGTGTGCCATAACTCATATTGGGTGACTTTTGTGTCATTATAACTCATATTGGGTGACTTGTGTGCTATTATAACTCATATTGGGTGACTTGTGTGCTATTATAACTCACATTGGGTGACTTTTGTGTCATTATAACTCATATTGGGTGACTTGTGTGTCATTATAACTCATATTGGGTGACTTGTGTGTCATTATAACTCATATTGGGTGACTTGTGTGTCATTATAACTCATATTGGGTGACTTGTGTGTCATTATAACTCATATTGGGTGACTTGTGTGCTATTATAACTCACATTGGGTGACTTTTGTGTCATTATAACTCATATTGGGTGACTTGTGTGTCATTATAACTCATATTGGGTGACTTGTGTGTCATTATAACTCATATTGGGTGACTTGTGCCATTATAACTCACATTGGGTGACTTGTGTGCCATATTATGACTCCCCTAACTGTCGTACACCACTGTCTAACTCACGGTATCTTTTTCCCCCCCGTGTGACGCAGGGCACACCCGACGCATCAGCATCCCGGAGTGCGTCGAGTTCGACATCACGACAAACGCATGTCGCGGCTACTGCGAGTCGTGGGCAGTACCTTCCGCCTGGCAGACACTGCTCTATAACCCTCACCAGGTTGTCACCTCCATAGGCCAGTGTTGTAACATCATGGATACTGAAGATGTAAGTGGGGGTGTTGTGGGGGTGTTGTGGGGGGGGGGTGTTGTGGGGGGGTGTTGTAGGGGGGGTGTTGTGGTGGTGGGGTGGGTGTTGTGTGGTGGGGTGTGGGGTATGAATGAGCCAGAAAGAGATATAATGGACACGAGAGATTAGACATAATGAGAGCATTAGCAATAGAAAGAAGAGAGGTGAGTGACAAAAGGCTTAGAAGGATGAGGTGAAAGACTGTTAATGTGGTCAATGGTAAATTCGCGGGGGTTGTGTGTGTGTTCTTTTGCCGCTGTTGCTCCAGTTGTTGTGCAACATTCATGTCATGTTGCAATGCACGTAATGATGGTAATAATACTCTGCAAATTGTGCACTCTGTATAGCAACACAGCTGGTCTTATACGCGGTTGATCTTTAACACACACACACACACACACACACACACACACACACACACACACACACACACACACGCACACGCACACGCACACACACACACACACACACACTGGGAGGAAGAAATTAGAGGAAAAACAGTCCAAGATATGATGAACCTAGTCGTATGGAAAAGCAAGGAGGCCGAAGAGAGATTTATACCAACAGTAAGGGAAAAAAGCAGGAGGGAATATACTAATAACCCATGGTTTAATAGACAGTGTCAGGAAGCAAAAATGAGAAGCAGGAGGGAGTGGAGGAAGTACAAAAGACAAAGGACAGAGGACAACAGGATTAGATGTAACAGAGCTAGGAATGATTACATTAACATAAGACGAGTATCGGAAAGAAATCATGAGAATGATATTGCAATCAAAGCGAAAAAGCAACCTAAATTACTACATAGCCATATAAGAAGGAAGATGTCGGTAAACGACCAAGTGACAAGACTAAGGAAGACAGAAGGAGCATATACAGAAAGTGACAAGGAAATCTGCGAGGCAGTGAATGCAAGTTTCCATGGAGTGTTCCCAATTGAGCCTGAGCAGCTCCCATTGTTAGAAGAGATTACCCTAGATGAAAGACTATCAGATATAGAGATGACAACAGAGGAGGTAATGAAACAGTTGACAACACTGGATACAACTAAAGCGGTTGGACCAGACAAAGTATCACCGTGGATACTAAAAGAAGCAGCGCAGGCCCTCAGCGTGCCTCTGGCAAAGAAATGAATCACTTATGTCGGGAGAATTGCCCAGTTGTTGGAAGAAGGCAAATGTCGTGCTGATTTTCAAGAAAGGTGATAGGGAGGAGGCACTTAACTACCGACCCGTATCACTGACAAGCATCCCCTGCAAAATACTTGAAAGAATAATTAGGCTAAGACTTGTTGCACACCTGGAGAGCATTGGGTTTGTAAACAAACACCAACATGGGTTCTGGACAGGGTTACCATGCCTAATAAACCTTCTGGAATTCTATGATAAAATAACAAGGATAAGGCAGGACAGAGAAGGCTGGGCAGACTGCATATTTCTAGACTGCCAAAAGGCCTTTGATACAGTATCTCACATGAGACTGCTCCTGAAACTTGAGAGGCAGGCAGGAGTAAGCGGAAAGGCCCTAGCATGGGTAAGGAACTACCTAACAGGAAGGAGCCAGACAGTAATGGTAAGGGGCGAGAAGTCGGACTGGCGAACAGTACCGAGTGGAGTACCTCAAGGATCGGTGCTGGGACCAATTCCATTTCTAATTTACGTAAATAACATGTTTACAGGAGTAGATTCCTACATGTCGATGTTCGCGGATGACGCAAAATTAATGAGAAGAGTTGTGACAGATGAGGATTATAGGATCCTCCAAGAGAACCTGAACAGGTTGCAGAGATGGTCAGAGAAAGGGCTACTGGAGTTCAACACGAGTAAATGTAAAAATATGGAAATGGGATCAGGTGATAGGAGACCAAAGGGACAGTACACAGCAAAGGGGAACTGCCTACCTGTAACAATTCGAGAGAGAGACCTGGGAGTGGACATAACACCTAATCTAACTCCTGAGGCGCACATAAATGGGATATCGACAACAGCGTACTCTGCACTGGCAAAAGTTAGAACATCATTCAGAAACCTAAGTGAGAAGGCTTTTAGGGCGCTTTACACTGCCTACGTGAGACCAGTCTTGGAGTATGCCGCCTCATCATGGAGTCCCCATCTGAAGAAGCATATAATGAAACTGGAAAAGGTTCAGAGGTTTGCAACGAGACTCGTCCCAGACCTACAAGAGATGGGGTATGAGGAGCGCCTGAGGGATCTGTGCCTTACGACACTAGAAAAAAGAGGGAAGAGGGGGGATATGATACCTACCTTGAGGTGCTTCCGGGGCTCAGTGTCCCCGCGGCCCGGTCGTCGACCAGGCCTCCTGGTTGCTGGACTGATCAACCAGGCTGTTAGACGCAGCTGCTCGCAGCCTGACGTATGAGTCACAGCCTGGTTGATCAGGCATCCTTTGGAGGTGCATATCCAGTTCTCTCTTGAACACTGTGAGGGGTCGGCCAGTTATGCCCCTTATGTGTAGTGGAAGTGTATAGGAAGGGGGTAGGAACGTATAGGTATGATGATAGAAACGTATAAAATACTCAGGGGAATTGACAAAGTAAAAATAGATGAAATGTTTACACGTAATATTAACAGAACGAGGGGACATGTTTCGAAGTTGGAAACTCAGATGAGTCACAGAGATGTTAGGAAGTTTTCTTTTAACGTGAGAGTAGTGGAAAAATGGAATGCACTTCAGGAACAGGTTGTGGAAGCAAACTCTATTCATAATTTTAAAACTAGGTATGATAGGGAAACAGGACCGGAGTCATTGCTGTAAACAACCGATAGCTGGAAAGGCGGGATCCTAGAATCAATACTCGATCCTGCAGACACAAATAGCCGAGTACAAATAGGTGAGTACACACACACACACACACCCCGCCCCCCACTGTGACAGTCCCCCCCCCCCTTCACCAACCAGTCACCACTCTCATAACTTCCACTTTCGTTGGAAGTTAAACTTAAAAAATAATCTTTAGTTTTTCCCTTCTCTTTTCCCTCTCAATGCCTCCTGTCCCTTTTTTTCTTCATTTTTCCTCCTCCGTTCTTCCTCCCTCTGTTGCTTATTCTCTTCTCTCTTCCTCTTCCGTTCTTCCTCCCTCTGTTGCTTATTCTCTTCTCTCTTCCTCTTCCGTTCTTCCTCCCTCTGTTTCTTATTCTCTTCTCTCTTCCTCTTCCGTTCTTCCTCCCTCTGTTGCTTATTCTCTTCTCTCTTCCTCTTCCATTCTTCCTCCCTCTGTTGCCTATTCTCCTCTCTCTTCCTCTTCCGTTCTTCCTCCCTCTGTTGCTTATTCTCTACTCTCTTCCTCTTCCGTTCTTCCTCCCTCTGTTGCTTATTCTCTTCTCTCTTCCTCTTCCGTTCTTCCTCCCTCTGTTGCCTATTCTCCTCTTTCTTCCTCTTCCGTTCTTCCTCCCTCTGTTGCTTATTCTCTTCTCTCTTCCTCTTCCGTTCTTCCTCCCTCTGTTGCTTATTCTCTTCTCTCTTCCTCTTCCGTTCGTCCTCCCTCTGTTGCGTATTCTCTTCTCTCTTCCTCTTCCGTTCTTCCTCCCTCTGTTGCTTATTCTCTTCTCTCTTCCTCTTCCGTTCGTCCTCCCTCTGTTGCCTATTCTCTTCTCTCCTCCTCTCCCGTGCTTCCTCCCTCTGTTTCTTATTCTCTTCTCTCCTCTGTTGCTTATTCTCTTCTCTCTTCCTACTCCGTGCTTCCTCCCTCTGTTGCTTATTCTCTTCTCTCTTCCTACTCCGTGCTTCGTCTCCATATCTTTTTTTCATCTCAGAGTCCATGACTTCCCTTATTTTTTCTTATTTTTATACTTCTAGTTTATCTATTTCCGTTTGAGAGCTTTTCCAGGTAAATCTATCATTAATCTCTTCGAGTCCTAATGTAATACGAAGCATTTGAAGCAGGTCCTTGGAAGTTATCCAAGAGGTGTAGTTGGACTGACTCGTAGACCCAGTCCCATCCTCCTGCTGCTGCTTCATTTTGCTTCTCTCAGATGAAGTAATTATATATTTTACGAGGGCAAAGGGAAACTAAGTTGTTTCTACACAAAAGTAGATGTATTATGGTGGGGGAAGGAGTGCCTAATATCCTAGATCATAATTATATAGTTAGGTAGGAATGTTCTGTATAATATTGGGTATTGGTTAGGTTATTATCAGGAGGAAAGTACAAAGTACTTTCAAACTATACGACTATATAGCACTTGGAAGGGATAGGAGGATAATGATTTAGGATAAGACGGTGGGAAGGATTGTTAACCCAACCACTTGGACTGTCGGTGATTGTTGGGTACAATAATTGTTACTGTGTAGTGAGGAATGTTGTGTGTGGTGTTTGGTGTCTAACAAAATCTATATTTCTGTTGAATGTTACTTTTCACTGAATGGTCAAGACGTGACATTCATGTTTATACTGCAGTGGTGATTGTACTGTTAACAGTGTAATGAGGCGGTTTCTGGACATTGTTGTGTTAATAGTTTAAATGTTTCTATACTGAAGAAATATTCCTCTATATTTTGTTGTTATCATTTATTGTTAATTCAATATTGTACATCGTGATCATGTATACTGATGATATACTCATTATCATCATGTATACTGATGTTATACTCTCATTATGATCATGTATACTGATGATATACTCATTATCATCACGTATACTGATGATATACTCATTATCATCACGTATACTGATGATATACTCATTATCATCACGTATACTGATGATATACTCATTATCATCACGTATACTGATGTTATACTCTCATTATGATCATGTATACTGATGTTATACTCTCATTATGATCATGTATACTGATGATATACTCATTATTATCACGTATACTGATGTTATACTCTCATTATGATCATGTATACTGATGATATACTCATTATCATCACGTATACTGATGTTATACTCTCATTATGATCATGTATACTGATGACATACTCTCATTATGATCATGTATACTGATGATATACT